TACGAGGGCAGAGAAGGCGGAAGAGGCCACTGAGCAGTCGCGAAAAGTCAAGGAGACTTCCACGATCTCATGATCTCTTCATGCACGTCCGGGTAGAAAGGATTTGGGTTCGCCACCCCCAAAAACCAATCACCCGGGAAGCATAGCTGTGCACTCTGGATCAAACTCGTTATGCTAGCACATCCGAGGACGGCAGCACAGACGAGCCATCATCTCTAGAGGACTCCAGCTCACCTTGTGATGCGGTGATACATGATTTCATCAGCCGGGGGACCGAATGAGACCGCGGGCCCGCGGGCGGGCCGGCGAACTCACCTGGGACCACGCAGGTTGCAATGTGAAAGACGGGGTGTGGACCGAGGAATTTTTCGTCGGTTTAGTTCCAAACCTGCCGTCTTAGGTCACCCTGGCCACCAGCCGAAGTATTATCTCACGTGGAGAAAAATAGATCGGGGTGTGGATGAGGGGACTCTCACTCATTGAGCTCATCGAGTCTCGACCGTTACATTGCGATGGTCACGTTCCCAGTGAGAGAACGTGACACACCCACGAGCGCTGTCTGAGCGCGATCAAAGCCCAAACACTCAAAACAGCGCTCGCGCCCATCAGCTGAATCTATCAGAATACCACACTCAGAAAAACACGGGCAGATCGTCTTTAGAAAGACGCGTCTTTAAAAAGACGTGCCGCGTGCAGCTCTTTAGTGAGAGGAAAAACTCCGCGGATGTTGAAGCGACCAGGGAGAACACACAGACTGGCAGACCACTGCTCAGCTCGCAGGCAATGTGAAACTCGCTGGATACCGCCGTCACACCAACACCGGAGAGTTCGCTCGTCTCGAAGAGATGTAGTCACTGAGAAAACTCAGGATTTGGCTTGTGGAGTGAAGAGATGCTCTTGGCTCCGAAGCGAAAACATGATCTGCTGTTGCAGGTGTCTCTCCTTAAATACTCACGCGGTGAGGCGGAGATACATTATGCAAATTCCGCAGACCCATGGCATTTCATTGCCATAGGCTCGTTTTTTAATACTCGAAGATGATAGGCTTTCTGGCGAAACCCCCATTCTCCGTCATCCGACGTAACTCGGAGTGACTACGAAAGGGAACTCATCTCTTCCGTGAGCACTTAACATAAAAAAATATATATAATTCTTTCCTTTTCCTTTAAATCCTTGCTTATCTGGCTTATGCTACTCCGAGCAATGTCTGAACTTTGTATTTTGAGCACTTCTTGCGTTGTTTTTGCCTCTTCACGATGACTCGCTTGGTTTAGTCCTCAGGTGTAAGTCGCTTTGGATAAAAGCGTCTGCTAAATGACTAAATGTAAAATGTAAATGTAACTTAAGTGTTTTACATCAGTAGCCTATTAAACTGCGCAATTTTTCATTTAATCAGAAATCAGAACATCTTTAAATCTTTAAGTTAATATTGTGTCCAGTTTGGCCCTGTAAATAAAAGGGTATTATTTTTTGACAAAGTGTGTGCGGTTTTGTTTTCTTTAGTACCGGTATAAGAACCGTTTAAGCACCGGAACCGTTTAAAAAATACCGAGTAGGTACTGGTATCGGATAAAACCCAACCAATACCCAACCCTAGGGGCGTGTCCACTCATGAGGGGGGAGGAGAGAGGGTGAGCATTTGTAGAAAGACTGTAGAAAGAGAGATGGTTGAGACACATTACAAAAGAGAAAAGGTCAGGGGGATATTACTGGAAGAGCTTTAGGACCTGGTTTAATATTAGAAAAGCTTTCTGGAGAGACCGAAGCGGGAAGGCCTGAAATCGGACAAAGAGGTTGCGTTGTTTCTGCTCCATTCATGAGTAACATGTGTTTCACAGAACCAACATATTCTATTGTTGTAATGTTAGTTATAGTAACAGGACAGTTTGTGATTGTTTGTCTGGAGGCTGGCGTAGCGACTAACAACAAACTCTTGCTTGCATATACTCTTGTGTACTGTATGTTCATTGTTTGTTTTTCCTTGTCGTTCGTTCACTTTATTTTTCGCTAAGCATTATTTTGCTTTGCTTCAGCTGTGATAAAGAGACATCCACTTTTGCATCGTGTGTTTGTGCATTTTGGGGACGAAGCAATGAAGGGAGGGGTTTGTTTTGGGCTGATTTCAAATATCAACAGTGTTTCTCAAAAATCGCTTACTGCACCTTTAACAATGAACAATGTTCATTGTCAATTTATGTTACCTAATCTAATTTTTTTTTTTAAACTGGACCTTATTGCATAATGTCTCTGGAAAACTGGTTAATTTCTGGAACAATCCTTTTAAAACTTTTTAAGGACATATTTCATCTGGTGCTTCAGACATGAACCAGCACTATTTAGGTACACATATTCCATCACATCTTCTCCAGATTAAATATATTTATGCTAACAAGATTGATTCAACTACATCTCATCATGAATGCGATGACACAGTGGATTATTCAAAAACCAGAAGACAATGATGAAAACTGATAATTAAAAGAAAATAGGACATAAAAGTAACCATTATTCTCCTGCTTCAACTAATGTTTTGTTTGGGGTCTCAAAGTTTGACTCAAATATCCAAATATCTGATTTGAAAAGTGATCTATTTTCCAAACACTTTTTTTCCCTGTAATTAATGTACAGAAAATTGCCCTCAGTTCCTTTGTCCTCGTTTTTCCTCTCATTTCTTAAACATTGCTAAAATTCTGTACTTCATCATTGCACCACTAGAGGGATCATTATTTTTCCAATGACTCATTCAACATTCTTTTATATCTTTGGCACTTCGAACTGTATACCCACTTGAGACCAATGAGGCTTGACTCTTATCGTCTATATTCCAGTCCACCCCTAGAATTGTCAGAATAGCCTAAAAACACGCTTACCTCTTGCATTACAATAATAAAACTTTGTAAACCAAGCAGTCTATTGTCATGGGTTTTGCAGTTCTGTGCTGGCCCTGGGTGGACGTTACTCCAGGGGGCCAATTTAATGCCTCTCATGGGGGATGTCGCAGCCAGGATAGCCCTTCATGGCATGTTATGCTTGGCGGGGGTCTGCCTTAGTCTAAGAGGGGTGTCTAATTCAATCTCTGTGTGAAAATCCAAACCTTTGGATGTCCCTGTAGGAGCCGTGCATGCACACTCTGGCTCTGAAGAGGTAAAGCTGAGGTAAAGGAAGTTCACGTAGGTTTCGTATGTTGCTGCAAAACAATAAGCCCAAGTGGATTATGTAGAGACGATTTTCAAAACACTTTGTAACTTGGTGCTCACTCTATAAAGATTTTTTTTACCACATGCAGTACTACGGTGAATTTCATTTTAACGTGTCAAGGTCACTAAAACAACTGAAATAAAAATTGTTTTATATATATATATATATATTTCAGCTAGTTGTCAAAGCAACATTTCTTATTTTCATTTAGTTTAACTTGATGTACTACAATAACTGAAACAAAAATTTTTTTTATAAAAACTGTATAGAGATTATAAAACTAACTAAAATTTAAAAATACAAAAATAAAAACTATTTCAAAACAATAAAAACTACTAAAATAATACCGGTCTAGGTTTCATCCCCAAAGCAACTATATACATATATATATAGTGACATAAATTGTAAATATTAACTTTATGCTATTTTTCTGCATTAATAAATATATATATATATATTTTTTCTTATTTAGTATAAAATTGTATGCTTCATGGTTGTGATTATCATGAAAACAGTGAATAAAATTCTTGATAGTTCTGCATTTTTCCCTTCCGAATATATTTTCATATTTCTTTGTTTTAGTTTTGGGGTAATTTATGACCATGACACATTCTTGACGGGTTAAAAAAAATACTAGAGTTGCCTAATGTGAATGAAGCTCAGGATAGTGCATTTTGTAATGTGTTATGAAACCTTCATAACTTTTGTAACTGTGAAACTGTTTTGTAACTTTTGTAACTCTTTTGTAACTGTGAAACCAAATACCAAAAACTTTTTTCAACCCAACATTTCCTGCTATTCTTCGCTGCCATGTGACGACTTTCATTTCTTCTCTGTAGAGTGATGAGGAAGAGGATGATGAGGTATGCGTGTATCCTTGTGCTTTTATTCAGTTGCGCATGAATGCGTTTCATGATTTCTTCTCGTGACTTCACTGACCTGTAATGTTCAGCATGTATTACTAGATCGTATGTGAGTTTTTGATGCACCCCATAACAACTAGAGGCTGAGGAATTCAGGAATCAAAATTTGTCTCTCTTATCATTGGCAACTGTTTGGATTTGAAGAGTTTGTTAAACCAGATGTAACATGATGTTGAACAAACCTGTTAAGCTGCTTCAAAACACACTGAAAACCCTGGATCAAGCATCGTTTTTAGTCTGCCATTAAAAATCCAAACCTGTGACAGATGTAACACTGGATATGTGCAGCTTTCAATATGAAGAAACTAATAAGTGCAACAATCAGCTCCCGGAAGTAAAAACTGCATTCATTTTCTTCATAGGGAAATTGTTTTTAATGATAACTTTAAAGACAGTCTGACTGTATTTGTTATATATATATATATATATATATATACACACACTTTGCAATAAACTTTAAATATATTGTTTCTATATATATAAAATCAACAGCTTTAAATGAACAGTTTTATATTTCTCCATCAGTTTTAATTTGATTGTCATACTGGAACTGTAGTACTTTCCCTCACTAGACGTTGATTCAACTCGTAGCTTTTGTTTATGGCTTGTAACGCTTACAATAAAAAAAAAATCCTTATAGGAAAATTACTTCTGGAAAAAGTGAGACTCTAAAATCTACTAATGTGTGAATAATATACTAAATCACTACGGGAAGGCATGTTTTGGTGCGATGTATATATTTGACTACTTTTAATGATGTTTATATAAAACACATTTGTCTGAATTGAAACTAGTAAATGGCGAAAATATAGGTACAAAATAAGGTTGAGTTAATTTGTATGTATTGCTAATGAATGAATGTCTTCTTGTTGTTCTCAGAGTGGGAAGTTTGCAGGCGCTCCTCTGGAGGGTCAGGAGTGTCCGCCACAGGGTTTGGGCTACACAGAGGACGTAGCTGAACATGAGCAGATGACTGCAGTACTGCGCACCAGCCTGCAGGGCGGAGACAGTCCCTCATCTGTTCTCCCTGGCCTCCGCACACGGACTCGAGCCACTCGAGGTATGTTCACAGATGATGCTGATTTGCTGAAGGAGTCCTAAAACGTTGAAACACTCTCCTTCTTGTGTCTCTTTTCTAGGCCATACGGCACTTTTGTCTGCTGCAAATGAAGACACTTCTAATTGCACAAATGATACAGCAGATGAGATCATGGAACGGATTGTGAAATCAGCAACTCAGGGCCCCAGTCAGCGCACACAGCCCCGCGAGAGGAGACGCTCCAGAGCCAACCGCAAATCCTGTGAGTCTGCAAATATCACACACACACACACATTTTTTGTAACTGTCTCTCTTGCTTTGTTTGGAGTTTGTTATCCATATACTTCCATATTTGGGCCTCAGGCAGGAAACTATTTTGCCGTATTACTTGTTTTGAGTTTTTGAAACAAGTTGCGTCTTGTGTTGTTGAAAAAGATTTTTAAAAGAAGTCACCAATGCTCCCTCACCAAGGTTGCATTTATTTGATCACTACTGCAAAACATCTATATTGCGAAATATTATTACAATTTAAAATGATCATTCAGAAATCATTGTAATGTACTGATTGGCTGCTCAAGAAACTTTCTACTTATTAATATTGAAGTTGGAAACAGTTGTGCTGCTTAATATTTTTGTGGAAACATACTTTTTTTTTTTCAGAATATTTTGATGAATCAAAAGTTCTAAAGAATTAATTTGAGATAGCTGACCTCAAATGTTAGTGTATAGTACATACTAACCCAGACAGCAACAAAGTTGCAACAAACCCCCCCGTAAGTTTAATAAAAAAAGCTAAATTTTGAGCAAACAGCTGAGAAAATCACACTTTTGTAAAAAAAAAAAAAAAACTACATCCGGATCGGATTCAGAATGATGATCAAGACATAGATGGAGCCGATTGAGTCCATCAACTCTCCTAATGCTTGCACAGTCCTATAGCTCGTCCTGGGTCGACATTTCATTCGGTAACGTTAGGCAGTTTTGATTTATGTGCTGTTTAATGTTGATGATCGTGTTATTTTACATATGCATTTGATTACACATAAGATAGCTTGTTCCTGCATTTTCTTCGCATGTTTTTTGATCAGGAGATTCTGCACTCTTTCAGAAGATTTGTCAATGCGCCCCCTACTGTATAACAGTGAAAACACAGAAAGACGTAAATTTCCGTCAATGGCAGGGAAAGCGTTTTCTCACAAATGACGTAAATTTCCATCAACGGCGGAGAAAGGGTTAACAGATTAAATTGCTTTATTATTCAGATACATTTTCAATCACAACTTTTAATTCAATTTAAAACAATTGTACTAATATTTAAATAATTTTGTTTTAATTAAAGGTACAATATGCAGGATTTTTCACCACCAGGGGTCGCTAACCTCTTACAATAACAAAGGCGTATATTGATGACGTATATTCCACATTAAGCTGAATTATGGATCTTGTCGTCAAGCTGATGGATCTTTTATGGATGAGTGAATACATTGATGTTTTTAACATGACTGTGGTGTGAAGCAGGGCGCGATTGCTAGACGTATACCAGGGCCACACACAACGTGAGTCCCGCGGATATAAAAGAATAAGGACATTTTATTCTACCGAACTACACGCAAGTGCTGAATTAATACTCACACAGGTCAGTTTATTAGACCAATTAAACTTGAGGTAACGCAGCGCTGTTTCACTTGCTCTAACAGTTACACTATCACACTAAACGGCATTTGAGTGTGTTGAATGTTGTTAGGTAGGTTGTGTGTTGGCTGTATGAGACTAAGTACGTTAAGCTAGATCAACATTAGAATAACATAGATCATTTTCTTACATTTCATCATGTTGAACTAAATAACATTGATTAGTTTTATGTACATTTGCTCACCTGTCTAATAAAGTACATGCAACACTCGCGTCTCTGTCAAGTCGAAGTTAGTCGCGGACGTGGAGCTCTCGGCATCTCGAAAGATGTTGATCTTCGTTCTAGTCCTCTTTTTGTCTCAAAGTCTGCTTGCCATGGTCCATCCATAATGTATGAACAAAACAACAACAGCGTGAGCGTCCTGCTAGGCATAACCCAGTTGTCAACGTCTGTCGCCATGGTTACTATGGCAGTAGGAGGTCAATCAAGGGGGTAATCCATCGACCGGAAGTTGAAGCCGGCCGGGTGCCGCCATCTTGTAGCAGAACTTCACTTGCGTTAGCATTTCCATTGACTCCCATTCATTTTGGCGTCACTTTGACAGCGAATAACTTTACATCTGAGGCGTTTAAAGACTCCATTTGTCCATTATTTATTTCTAAAGAAACACGACAATGTATAAAGTGCTCCATTACCTTCTATGTTACATTATGGCCCCGTAGAAACAGATTTTGTAAAAATAGGCTAACGATTGCGTCATAACCACTCGACTCTGTCGTGCTGTACAGAAATTACCGTACAGACAGGAGGAGAAGCTCGCAGTCAATCGGGGGGACGTCCCGTCAAGGGAGAAGCCCATAGATAATGAGTCCATAAAAGCAACGGAATACTTACTCCTGCTCACTCACGCCAAAGAACTCTTTGCTCAAGTTCCCCGTCTCTGCAAGATTAACGTTGGCAATTTTCACGCACAGCTACTACAAGAGTAACGTCTGTCAGACAGGTTGCTCACGTCATCAAGCTTAGTTTGAGTCGGTTTGAGTCTGCGCGTCAGGAACGGAAGTGCTCAAAAATGGCTAAAAATGGGCTTCAACTGTCTCAACTGAGTTCCAATGAGATGGCTCTGTCCACTTCTTATACTGTCTATGGGTCAAACCTGGCTGAAACCGAGGGTAACCTAGTGGTTTTTGGATATTTTACTGCAAAAATCCTACATATTGTACCTTTAAGCAGATTAAAGTTTTATTATTTAGATATTTTTTAATCACACCCATTATTTTGCAAATAATCACAATAGGTTTATTTTTTCATATATTTATGTGCTTTTTCATATATTTAATAATAGCTTGAATAGTATTTATTAGAATTATAAAAAATAATTAGAGTTTGCTTTGCTCTCTCACTCATTCCTCTCTTTTTCTCTACAGTAAGAAGAACACTGAAGAACGGTCTTACGCCAGAGGAGGCACAGGCGCTAGGATTGGCCAGCAGCTCTGAGATGCAAGTGTGAGACAGCATACGCTCAGGGTCTCAGCCCAAACACACACACACGAGCTGGAACAGGTCGCTTTAGCTCCAGTTTGCTTTATTCTAGATCTGGAGCATGTTCCTGGGTTTGTGTTTAACTGTTTTACGATGGTTATTGCTGTGGACAGTTCATATTCTCACAGGTGAAAGGGATTATAATCACTAACCCATATACTTAACCTTGGACGTGTAATCAGACCTTACTCCATTTACTAGCTTCACCTACATTTGCATATTGTCAAGGTGGTCTAAGAGAATAATGAAAACCACTCCAGGTACATGTCCACTGTTCCTGCTCTGTACTTGTGGACTGTTAACATGATATCCCAAACATCCATTTTAATGCATTTTTGAAAGAGAACAAGCACAGTTGCAGCACAACGTTTGTAGATGCTCTCTCACACACACACACAAACACACACACACACACACACACACACACACACAGCCTGTAGAATGCTGATTGTCCAGTTCTCCAGTACAGAGACACATGTCCGTCTCTTACCGCTGTGGCCTTCAGAATGAACCAAAAAAAAAAAAAAAAAAAAAAAACTGTTTGAAGATGACTGGATGCTGTCCTATCTTTTTTGTTGGTACTGGCTGTTTGGTTGAACTCAGATGGCATTGAATTCAGCAGTCGCACCTTCAGTCTTCATATTTCATGTAAATCAGCAACCATTGTCCTCTGGTTTGCTGCTGTGTTAAAATGTGTTTGTTTATGTACTTTAAAATTGCAGAGCTTATTGTGTTACATGTACGGTTACTTTCAGATAGCTTGAAGTTGAGCAAGAGTTAGGGGGAAAACAAATTACTTTGCTCACAAATGAGAACAAACTAGAAAGCCGTCATTCACCTTTTCTCTTCCTCATATATTATCTCCATCGTAATACATTCATTTCATAACTTGCAAGATGAAAAAGTAGACAATCGTCTAATTTAAATGGAAAGACTAGCTATATTTGTTTAAAAAAGTAGCAATGGCATTTTTTTAATCAAATTAGTGCCTTGAAGCAATGTATTTTATGATAATTTGATTATTGGCATTCAAGGAAAAGGGAAAGAAATGGGGAAACATTCAGATTTTTAGGCATTTTAAAGGAATAGTTCACCCTATAATGTACATTTTGTCATTGAAGTCCTGTATTTTGAATATTTTTACAGAACAAAAATATCATATGGGTTTGGAGAGTGTAAATTACAGAACGTTAGCAAGATTAAAGTCGCTTCATTTCCCACAGACACACGTCCACTGTCTATGATAGTAGTACCATTTAGCACCTTATCATGTGTAGCATGCAATTTCGAAAGGAATTGGAAAATTAAGTACTATAGAGACGATTTTTTCACCTTTCCCTCAGATTTTTACTCTGAGCATTATGTGGATAAGAGATTAGATACATGTAAAGTAGAACCGTGATGTAGAGGCTAAACGTGAGACAGATGCTGTAAAATTGTGTAAATGTCACTTCAATGTTTTTATTTTTTGTTGTTTGTTTTGTTTTGTATAGAATAGTGTATTATAGGTCAAAAGCAGTGTTATTCTGTGAAAATTCTAATTTAAGAGAAAATAAGCCATGCATGGTTCAAACAATAAATGTCAGCAGGCAATGTCAATATATTGGGGTTAAGTGGATGGAGCCTGTGACGTCTCGATACCCTGTGAACGTAGCTTTGGTGTTTCATGTGTTTACGCAGCACAGACTTGAAACATTGTCATGCACCCATCAGCCCTGCTCAAATGGCCTTTGATATTATTGCACTCGCATACAGAGTTTCACCCATTGCTACAAGTGCCATAAAAAGTTGGTTTTGAATAAAAGATCGAGAACGTGAAAATTTGACTTTTAAATTCCTAAAGGAAAAAGCATTTACTGTACTTTGCAATAAAAAGCTTTTACAGCAACATCCAGAACACAGAGTTGGACTGTTTCTTTCTTGGGAAACAGTGTACTTGTTTGAGCATAGTGTTTCTAAAGCCACGGAAGCCCCTCAGCAACAAATTTAGAGAAAGACTCCGAATGATTCTGTTGAATGGATTTGTTGTGTGAAAAATTACTGGCTATACAGTACTTTGAGACAAAAGTCACATTGCAATTAAGTAAAGTCACAATTAAAAGATGGTATTTCTTGATATAAAATCAAAATGCGAGATACAAAGTCACGAGGTATAACGTTCACAGCAAGATGTAAAGTAGCAATTACCGGAAACAAAATCACATTTGCAAGGTAGAGTCGCATTTACAAGTAAGTTCAATTGCGAGGTATACATGTAAGGGATAATGTACATCCAGCCGGTTGTTATCTCAGAATAAATCTTTTTTGACAGGGTGATCCGGACCCCGGTCTTGCATCAGCCTGAAGGGGTTTATCTCATAGTAATGGAGATTAATGCAAAGCTTCTGCGAAGAAAGCAGTTGCTATCAAGCGCTAAATTCAAACTAGACGGACATTTAAGGGATACGGTACAGTCATACCACTTATTACACGGCATTTCGCCACATAAATAATTATGGGGATAAGAGATAACTGTTTTAAAGGGGTGGTATATTGCCCTTTTCACAAGATGTAAAATAAATCTCTGATGTCCCCAGAGTGTGTATGTGAAGTTTTAGCTCAAAATACCCCACAGATATTTTAATATAGCATGTTTAAGTTGTCACTTTTTGAGGGTAAGCAAAAACGCACCGTTTTTGGGTCTGGCCCTTTAAATGCAAATGAGCTTCTGCTCCCAGCACAGAGGGCGGAGCTACAACAGCTTGTGTCCTTTCACTAGAGGTCTTCATGGGTCCACTTGGATCCGAAAACCTGAGGTCCGACCCGAGACCCGAGCGGGTTAGGGTCCAAAACTCTGACGAGTGTCTCGGACACGGGTCCGTCTCGGGTAATTTTAAATAAATATACCTTTTCCAAATGGACCCGAGAAGACCCGATTTTTTTTAAACTATGTTGGGCATTCAACAAAATTGCAGTGTTTAAAACAACTCTATGACACCATTCTCTCACTTTTTCTAAGTGAGAGAGTGAATCCGCGCTTCTACGTGCAAATGGGCTATAAGCATAAGCACAGTTGCCTCCGCATTTATTTACTCAGTTGCTCGCTCCACATAAACCAACCCCTCCCTTTGCCAAGAAGAACTAGTGCGCCATCATGTGGATGGATGTTTGACTAAATGCAAGTATTTGAATTGTCGTTAAGCCAGGCCTGTCAATCAATTTAAAAAATACACGACACTGTCAGAAAAGCATGGAGGCGATAACAGACATTGCTAAAAAGGTGAGGGAAAACGAATGGTGGTTCTAATCATCATATGGTCCGGTAAATAACATTATGCCAAATTTTAAAGGACGTAATGGGTTACAGTGATGTGTGATTGACATTTTAGCACTTCAGCGCGCTTACACTTGCGCGTCTATGTGAAGTGCATTTTTGAGAAACGCAGGGCTGCAGGCTGCACACAACGTAAATGCCGTTTACGTTCGGGTCTAGTCGGGTTCTAAAGAAAATTAGACCACTCGGACTCGGGTCTAATTTTATTGGGTCTGTCTCGGGTCGGGTTTTTCTTTAAAAAAAAAATAATTTATGCACGTCGGGTTCGGGTAAGTAATGATTCGGGTCGGGTACAGTTTTTAGGACCCGAGAAGACCTCTACCTTTTACCTCACACAGACATGCACTGAAAGATTAACCCACTAATTTAGGGTTAGTGATGTCACTAACCCGGGCGGGACAAATGTTGTGTAGTCCCTACCAGCCATTTGTTGTTGTCCTTAAAAAACGATTTCTTTAAAAGCAAATATCTCCCTTTGCTTTGAACTTTGAGCATTGTAACTCAAACAGCAACATTACACACTAATTAAAGTTAGAAAAGTGAAATCATAATCAACCACCACTATAAAATCTTACCTGTGTGATATCTTATAATCCATTACCGTGTACAAAACAGTTGTTGCAAAATGGCGGCAGCAGCTGCGTTTGTATGAAAGAAGAGAGAGTGAGTTCGCGATACCCGGATGACATAATTAAATAATTGTACATAAAATATCGATTTAAGTAAATATTTTATTAGCTAACCAAACTAATAAACTAATAAATAAGAAAAAAACGTTCCAAGCAAGCATATAGCGCTGACTTCAGTTACCCGGATGTGCCTGTGTTTTTACCTGTTGTTATCAGGGATGGTGCGATTGACCAATCAGAATCAAGTATTCCACAGAGCCATGTAATAATATCAGATGAATTAAAATGAACAACGTTTCGACCCAAAGGGTCTTCGTCAGGCAAGCAACAATCATAGAAAGGTACAATTTATATCAGTGTGAACCATCACACCTGACCTCATTAGTGAACTAATTACCCAATCATCCAATGCAATAACGACCTAATCCGACCTAACACAAATGTAATCACTAAAGCATCAAAAAAGAAAGAAAGAAAGAAGAAAAACAAACTACAGAAAAAAAAAAAACATGATAATTTTTTTTTTTTAAATATACACAAAAGAAAAGTTTCAAAACAAACTCAATATTCAAACCTTTTGGAGAAAGTGGCAGTGTGCCGATTTATTTTAAGTTTGATGCTTCATTTGATCGAGCACCTGCCGAAAGTTTATTGGATGTGCGCACAATTTCTTTTTTTGAAATAATATCGGATGTCATGTCAGAGTTAAAGCCACAATTAGAATTGTTTTTCCTGACAACGTTGTTAAAATGATCCCCGTTCACAAAGATCCGTGAAAATGATGTTATGAAAATGAATTATGTTGCCAGACCAGTAGTTGGTGGTCACTTTGTAAAGAAATCCACACACCAATAGACTGAACAGGTAATATGCATGCGCATGACATCACTGTTTTTCACAAATTTGTGTTTATGTAATTTAAACAAAGATGATATTGGTATCGTTTTCAATGTGCACTTTAACACCAGTTTTCAAAAGTTTGTGTTTTCATGTACATGAATAGCCAAAATGCACAGATCCGTGTGAAGGTTTTTAGTTGAAAACAGTGTCGTGCAAAACAGTCAAAAATGTCGCATTTACGAGAAATAAGTTGCTTTTGTGAGAGATAAAGTCGCAATTAGTTCAACGGGTTTCCATACAATTCACTCATTCAGTCACACAAACTCTCCAAGAACAGTTGTTAGACATATCACCACCTTTATTTAGGGTCATGTACAGCAGATGGTTCTCTTGCAGTGTCACAGGTCTCCTCTAAAATGAGCTGTGACCACATCGAAACTGATGGAATCTCATTACAATCATAATTGTATGACAATTTTAGTGCAACAACAGACATGTAACATGCCTAATGCAGTAAAGATGTTGGTTGTACAAGACCATACAAAAACAACCTTGTGTGTTTGTTTGTTTGTTAGATATATCTATGGCAAAAGTGAGTTTGCATTTGTCCCCATAAATTTGTCATCAA